TTTTCTGTCTTTGGATAGTCTCTGTGGCCCAGTCACTGGTGGGTACACGTATATTAGGGAGAGTTCCTGGGTGTGGGGCTGTTGACTTTCACACGGTAGCACTGCACGAGGTAGAATGTGAGTGTGGACTGGGAGTGCTTCCTGCGTGCCACAGCTCTGCCCATCTGCACAGTGTGCCCAGGCTGTTACCACCTGGCTCCTTGGGCTACAGGGAGCACTCAGGTGCGCAGCTTGACGTAGTGCATGATGTTTGGGCTCATGGGGTCTGCCATTACCCTGTTGGCTGTTTCGGGTTGCTGGTGTGACCCTGGCTGCCATTGGATTTTTCAGGATTTGGCTGAGCAGAGATGGTGGGCTCCTCCCTGAACCCAGGCCCTTAGCTTTCTGATGCGTGGGCTCTTTCCCTTGAGGGACCCACGTGTTGAACAGCCCAGTGTGCCCAGGTCACCTGTGTCCTGATGGAAGCTTCTCCAGGCAGGCTCCAGAGCCTTCCCTGGGGTGGTGTGTGGGCAGCAGGGGCTGTGGTTAGCAGCGTTCAAGACCTGCCCCTTGGCACTGTGGGGAGGGGGATGCTCAGGTGGTCCGGCCAAGTTAGGCGCCACAGCAGAGGCTCAGGGAGGGCTCATGTGCTCAGGACTCAGCCTCCGCGGTGGGCCTGAGGCTGAGTTTGATTGTGCTGTGGCAGCCACAACCGACAGATACCCTAGGATGCCCCCACAGGCCTTCCAGCTCTGGCCTGAACTGGGTAGGCCTGCGGGGGAGCCTGGGGAGTCTGGCCCTGTGGGACTTGGGGGACCAGCAGTCTGCATAGCTGAGTGGTTGCATGATTGTGTGCTGCTCTCTGGCCACCTCTGCTGGTGGTGTCCCCAGGGTCTACATCCCCAAGCAAACCCATCCCCTTCCCCCAGCCCCCACTCGTGCCACACACTTGGCCTGACCCCTTCCTGCCCAGTGCCAGGACGCAGACACTGTGTGTTTAGGTAAAAGGGCAGTGAGGACAAAAGCAAGCTTGTGGGTTGGAGCTCAGGAAGAAGGTTGGGGGTGTATTTGAGAGAAGGATGGGGTGGCAGATGTAGAGGCTCACGGGAGGGCCCTGCTCAGAAAGCAGCAGAAGACCCTGCGCGTGAGCAGGTGAGAGAGGGGAAGACACGCTAGAGGGCAGACTCGGGCCCTGGCACCAAGCGTGGTGGGCACTGGGTCTCGCGTGACTGGAGGGAGCCACCGATGGTTCTCAGCACCCACAGACAGACACTCTGGCCTGGTTTTTCTCTTGTACTCTAAGTGCACAGAAGGAGGTCAAGCACAACCTGGATTCGTAGCACACACTGTTATTGGTCCATGTGGCCTTCTGCTAGGGGTTTAAGTTGTGTTTGTACAAAGAACATAGGGAAACCCACCTGCCAACCTGAGGCCTCTGAAGTTCCTGGTAGCTGACATCTCACCCACCCTACCCAGCACCCACCCCTGTCCCCGTTGCAGCTCTGCACAGAGTTCTGCACATATTATTGCCCTGCTTCATAAAGGTGGTATACTGCATCTGTATGAATGCCTGAACAGTACATTTAGTTTAGATCTTGAAGTTGATAGAAAGAGTAGCGCACTGTGTTGTCAAGGGAGATTTGTTCTCCTCACTTTGACATGTGCAAGTGTTGCATGTGACTGTTGCCCCCAGCTGACGTCCCATCACATGGGCTCATCCCTCCTTTTGTTGCTTCTCTTGCTGTCTGGCATCTAGTTATTTCTGATTCTCATTCTTGCAGTGCAGGTGAGGACAGTTTTGTCTGTATCTGCTGTGGGCATGTTGAATGGATTCTTTGAATGTGTACCTAGGGATGGAGTTACCGAGTTGCAGGGCATGTAAGTGTTAAACTTTAAGGAGATACCAAATTATTTTTAAAAGTAATTTGCTGATTTTCATTCCATCAGCAATGTATATAAGATCCAATTGACTGATATGCTTTCCAACTCTTAGTGTTGCCAATGTGCTTGCTTTTTGCCAATCAAATGGACGCAGAGTGATATTTCATTGTTTGCCTTGATTTGCATTTTCCTCATTACTGGCGATGCTGATTACCTCTTCGTGTTTACTGACCATATGTGTTTCCTTTTCTGGGAAGTGTCGCTCACATCTTTTTCCCAACTTTTGCCTGTTTTTCTGTCGCATTGCTCCATGGGATTTCTGTGTATGTTTCTGCTACTAATCAGATAGAGAGAATTGTCAGCGTCTGTTCTCCATTCCTCTTGGTGATATGATGAGGGCATCTTCTGTGGGACTTTAAGGAGTTCATTCTGTCTGGTTTGAGTGTGGCAGGAAGAGCAGAGCCCTGGAGTCACAGCAGGCCTGGGGTCTGATCCTGTCCCTGTCACCGACTGCTGGGCAGGTTTGGGGTATGACTTTGTTTCTGAGCCTCAGTTTCTTTCTTCCTAAAGTAGGACCAGTGAAGAAACCCATCTCATAGGAGAGGATGGGTAGGCTAACAGCATGTCGGCGGGAGGTGGCCTGGTGCTACCTTGGGAGCCTTCCCCGTGAGCTCTTCTACCCTAAGTGTCCTCTGGGAGGCCTCTGACTGCAGGGCATCCCCTGGGAGGAGGAGCTCCAGGCTAGTGCCGCCTCACCAAGGCTGGCTGCACTTCTGGGGGATAGAGCAAAGGGTCACAAAGATTTGCCAGTGGAAGGAGTCTGTGCAGTTCCCAGGCACAGCTGTTGCTCTTGTAAGGCTGACCGTCTCCTCTCTCTTTCAGTATTTGGGTTGGCTTGCGGGTGTTGGTAAATTGGCAGACAGTGCTCATACTGGCCAGCCTTGGGTCCATGGTGATGTTCCCGTGCCTGGTCCCTGCACATCCCTTCCTGCCCATGAAAGACAGCTGTGGCAAGGCCTGGTGAGGTCACTGTGCTTCCCCACCCCTCGGCAGGACCCCTGCCCCTTCCCAGCCCCCCTGCCCCTCCCTGTGCTCCTTCCCCAGGCTCCTCATCCCTCCTTCCCTAGGCCTACCTGATGGCTGTGCCCGTGTCCTTGCTGCTTGGGCTGAAGTAGGACCGAGACCGTCCCCGTGAGGAGCTTCTTTGCTGCTCTGCAGGGCCCGCATCCACCTCAGCACATGCGTCTTTTTTCTTGAGTGGGCATCTCACTCTGTTGCCCAGGCTGGAGTGCAGTGACACGCTTTCGGCCACCACAGCCTCAACCTGCTGGGCTCAGGTTATCCTTCTGCCTTCCAAGGAGCTGGGACTGCAGGCATGTGCCACCATGTCTTGCTACTTTTTTTGATTTATTGTAGAGATGTAGTCTCACCAAATTGCCCAGGCTAATCTCAGTCTCCCAGGCTGAGGCAGTCCTCTCACCTCTGCCTCCCAAAGTGCTGAGATTACAGACGTGCGCCACCGTGCCCGTCCTAGCACATGGTCATCATAATGATGGTTTTGATTGTGTTGTTGTTTGGCTTGTTTTTGTAGTTGTTGTTTCAGGAAGACTGGCTGTTTCCGGAATGACTTTTTTCCTTCCTGCATGGCCAGCATGTCCCCTCCACTAGTGCCAGTCCTGGGAACATTGCCTTTACAGGACTGCAAAGGAGCAGTGTGCTGTCACAAGCACGTGCCCCTGCCCAGAGAGGGGCCATGCCCAGGAACGGACCTGCGGCTGTCTGGGGCTTGGCTGGACTTCAGGAAAGCAGGATTCTGGCTGAAAGGCGCTCTCCTCGTAGCCCTTGCTGCCACAGCACCTGAGTCTCCCCTCTTGCAGGCCTTCAGGAGCTTGATCCCTGGGAGAAGTCCAGACATGACCTCTTTGTCTCTCCTGGTGATCTGTGTTCTCCCTTCAGGACTGTGTGGGAAGGTGACGGAAAGGAGACAGGGCTGGCTTTGAGTCTCATTCTCCCTCCCTGACAGGTGTGGCCCCTCCTGACACAGCGTTCCCGTGCTCTGTGTGGCAGGGTGCTATCGTCTCCCCATGGGCTGCTCAAACCTGTGGGTCACTGCCTGAGTGAGGAGTGGAAAGTTCTTCTGCACAGTGGCCGGTGGGGGCACCTGCCACATGGTTTTCCAGCAGGGGCACACGGCTTGCCAGGGAGTGTATTTCACATTGTTCTCATGTTGTGAGCATGTGGCTCTGGAGGCCATTTTCCTAGGCTCTGAGGCCTCTGATGGGGGTGTTGAGAGTAGTGGGACCAGTGGGGGCTCAGGGCAGGCGACCTCTGGCTCTGACACCGCGTACCTGTGCTGCGTTTGGTCTTGCTGGCCCATGTGGCATCCCGGACCAGGCTCCAGCACAGCAGCCTCATGGCCTCGCCTCGTGAGGCCTCTTGGATCATGAGCTCCCTGTGACTGGGACCGCTCCAGCAGAGGCTGGGGCACCTGGTCGAGATCGTGGTCGCAAGGCTGCTGTCCTCGGCTGGCCACAAAGCTGTGACCCAGACTTGGTGCTTGGCGAAGTTTCTCTCTCAGGAGAAGGCCGAAGGTTCTGGGGCCCAACATGGCCATTGTTGGCTTCTCTACCATTAGGGGAGGCTGTAGGCTGGTACCTCTGGGGAAGTATGAGGGGAAGGGTGACACTCTCTGCCGTCCAGGTCCCATGCGGTGGTGGCCATGGGAGGAACTCCAGAACTTTTTCGAAGCTTGGCCTCTGTCAGTAAAGTCGTCTTCATCGGTTTTTTCAGAGCACGGGCCTACCAGGGGGAAGGTGACTTGTTCTCTTCTGTCATGAGGGAGCGCTGAAGTGTCTCTCCGCTCTCCCCGCCATGAGCCCATAATCCCCTTTGGGATCTCCCTGCCATGCCTGCCTGCCACTCTCAGTTTCTGGAGGCAGGGTGGGGATGGACCTTGTTCGCTTTGGCCACCCACTGCCCACAGTGGAGTTCTGGGGCCTCACAAAGGTGGCTGCCCTGGCCTGGGACCGTGTTTGCCAGGAGTGGAGGCTTCAGGGTGATGGAAGGTGTGTTCCCTGTAGCCCCAGAGAGGGGGCCTAGTTCACCCTAGCCTGTGGCCCACTTTCTGTCTTGTTTTGCAGGCTCAGCTGTCACAGGCCCTGGAGGAGCTGGGAGGCCAGAAACAAAGAGCAGACATGGTGAGTCCTGACATGGGCGCTTGTTTGTTGCCATTGTGGCAAAGGGAGGTCTGGGGTGTAGGGTACCTTGAATCCTGGGTCCTGGACAGGAACTCCTGTTTCCATCAGGACTTATCCGGCAGGCATAAGCTTGTGGCTTCCCCCTCTGTTATCAGAAACATTATAGAGCATGGAAAGGCGTGGGGATTGAAGCTGAGTCCCGGCTCTACCCGTGAGACGGCTGCATGGTCTGAAGAGAACACATCTTCTCTGGCTTTACCTGTCAGTCTTGTGGAGCAGGGACAGTGACATGTTTGCTGTACAAAATCATGCGACCAAGAGTCAAAGAAAGCGTGAAGGCCTGTGTGAACCATGAGGGGCCTGGGGGCTGCTGCCGTGGGCATCAGTGCCGCAGCCCCACAGACCCCTGCCCTCACGACACAGGGCCCGTCACCCTGACAGGCACAGCTGCCTCGCCTGGGTTCAGGCTTGATGCTGTATGTGTCCTGACAAAGATACGGGCTATCTTTAACATGTGTTTATCTGCTGCACACCATCTTATTTCTCTCCTAATTAGGTAGGTGTACTTGGATGGGGCGTTTGCTCCTCAGACTGCACCAGCCCTGCCCTTGCTAGCTTCCTGCCACTGAGCCTGAGCAGGTCCTGCAGTACAGGCAGCTGAGGATCCTGGCTGGGCTCTTCTCGGGCTTCTAGACCTCCAGTGCTCACAGGGCCCCTGAGTACTTCAGGGGACAAATGGGCTTTGCTTTTGAAATGTTTTGGCCTAAACAAAATGTAAGCCCACTGCATGCTGCTCTGGCCTGGGTCTTGTCTGTGAAGGACACAGGAAGGCCTTGGGGAGTATGCATGCCAGACCACACGTCAACCTGGCTTGGGTGGGGTCAGAAATTGCTCGTGAGGCAGGGAACACTGGAGACCAGACTGGGAATGAGACCCAGGCCCAAGGGTGGCTGTGCTCAGATACCCTCACAGGTTGTCCGCAGCAGCATATTTAGGGGCCAGAGAGGCACAAGAAGGACACAAGGCTAGGTAGGGCCAGAGAAGCCTGTCAGAGACTTGGGAGCATTCCCTGTTCCTTCAGTAGCACTTAAGGATATGCCTCCTGTTGCTGGGGATGCAGCAGCTGGTGACACGGGTCCCTCCTGGCACACATGTTGTCACTGTCGAGGGGGCTGGTCGGCAGCGAGTCAACAGGAAGTGAGGGGTAGACATGCAGGTGGTCATGCCTGCAGGAAAGGCAGTCATCCAGGGCAGAGGTGTGGCCTGGGGCCCTCTGCAGAGCAGGTCGAGTCAGTGGTTGGAATGGAGGGGTGGCAGGACAGCAGGACCCAAGATCCTGGGACTGGAAGGGGCTCTGTGTGTCCCTGCACAGCAAAGCTGGAGGTGACAGAAGTGGGGCCCAGCAGATGTTCAGGGACTCCACGACATGGGCCATGTGTTCGTGATGAGCCTGTGATTTCACAGGGTCGAGGAGGCAGTGACATGAACCTGGTGTCCATTCGAGAAGGGTGTCTGGCTGCTCTGGGCAGCACTGCGGTGACGGGGACCCAGTGGGGCTGGGTTGGCCAGGGTGGGTGATGCAGGCATCCTGGACCAGGGTTGCTGTGTCTGTGGGGAGGCGTGGTCAGATTTGGCTATATTGAAGGTGGATACAGGTTAGGCAGAGTGTGAGGTCTGGGAGTTGAGGACAGCTTTGGCATTCTGGCTAGGTGGGGTTGTGGAGGAGTTGGGAGACTGGAGGGAAGTGAAGGAGTCTGAGGTACCTGGAGCTTGAGTCGTAGGTCACGGTGCCCATCAGCTCTGATGTTCTTTCCATCCTCAGTAGTGAATAGGTAGCAGAAAAGTCAGACCCTGAGGTCGAGGCTCTTTCAGGGTGCTCCAGCATCCTGGCATCTGGTCCAGGGGAGCAGCCATGAATCAGGTGACCCAGGGGAGGACAGGTTCATTAACAACAGCCATGAAGAACAAAGCTTCTCTAGTGGAGAGTGTCCGGCTCAGTCAGACACTGCAGAGTGGTCACAGAAGAGGAGCTGAGAACGGCTGTTGGATCTGGCAACAGGTGTTTCACTGTTAGTGAGAACTATTTCCGGGGAACAGCCAGGGAACAGCCAGCCGGACCAGAGGCCCTTGAAGCCACGAATGTAGATAGCATTTCTGAGGTGCTTGCCCAAAGAACCTGGAGTTGGATAGGGAGAGGTTCATTTTACCTGGTGGGCAGTGGAAGAGCACATTTTAATGCTAATGAGTGTCCCCACAGAGGGGGCAGGTGCAGGGTGGGCCAGGTGAGGGGGCGGGCGCAGTGAGGATGCTGGCAGGTCCTGGAGCTTAAGTCTCCTCTCTGTACCTGAAGTACCCTGGGAGGTGAAGTGGGAAGGCACATCTGTTAGGGAGGTGACCTGGTACCATCAGGCCAGGCTGGGAATTACAGTGCAGATGTGGAGCTGGGCTGGGCAGCGGGTCTGTCTGCCTTGCTTAGGTGTTTCCTGTCCACACAGACGTTGGCTAATAGGGCCTGGCTAGTCCCCGGCTTGCCAGGGGAGAGTGGTGGATGGAAAGGAGGGTGTGATCTTTTGTTAAGTGGAGGGAAAACAGGTTCTGAGACTGTGTTGAATGCCGTCCTTTTCTATGTATGTGTTTAGAGTGAGCATGAACCATGTTTATCTTTAGCTATTTTGTTTTGATTTTTCTCTGTGTTTTCTGGAGTACTCATAAGTGATGTAATTTGAGGGGACACATTGGAACTGTGTTGTTGGTGGGAGGCTTGAGACTCAAGAGTCAATCTCCTGACTTATTCCAGGATGGCTCGTGACCTGCATGGACCTGTGCCTGCTTTCAGTGAGTGGGGGCTGGGCAGCGCTGTGTAGACTGGGGGATCTGGTGCACCACCAGTGACTGGGACCAGGGAGAGGTCTGTGGAGTGTGGTGCGCCAGCAGAAGAGTGGAGTGAGGGAACACCGTGTAGACTGTGGAGTCTGGTGCACCAGTGGTGAGGCTGCACTCTGTAGACTGGAGTGTGGTATACCACGTGCAGGTGATTAATAAGGATGCCAAGGCGCTTTTTAGCCTGCGTCGGGGGCGGGATGACACGAGTGGTGTATAGTCTTCCTTGTTACAGACTGGTGGATTCTCAGTACTTCCTTCTCATTAGGTGAGCTTTCTGGGCCTCTGAGTAGGGGCCCTATTTCCTGTTGACTCAGAGGAGGCTGGGACTGGTGGGGGGCCCCAGGGAGACCCTGATATTCTGCGTGTTAACATGTCTGGCTCCTCAGTGTTGACCTGAATTGAAAACGTGCCAGAGCGCCACGCTTCCTCATGTATATGAGGCCAGGAGGGATTATACGTGGAGAGCTGTCAAAGCACTTGCCAAGCCTGCAACATTATGGCTGACCACCTGCCAGGTGCCCACGGCAGCCTTTGCATGTGAACCTTCCATCTTCTCGGAAGCATGGACACCTCCACCCCGACGTCTCTTCTTCTCCCAGTCCAGGGTGGTTTTGGAGAAACTGCTCACCCCAGGTTCCTTTCCGGGGGTGAGGGAGAAGAGCAGCTGATCTTGGGCCCCGAGACTGGAGTGGGTGCCGCACAGCACCTGGCAGCACCTGCATTACTGGCTTCGTGGGGCCTCTATTGTGTCTTGTCATGGGCTGCAGGGTCGCTTGGTGGGACGCTGGGCTGGAGGTTTGGCCTGGCTCACTTTTCAGCCTGGGTGTTTTATTTTCTTTGGTTCTATAATTGCTGTTTCTTGATCAGAGCACCCAGGAGCTTTAAAGTACTGTGGTGCCTGGACCTCACGCTACAACATTTACTTAGAATTTGGGGTGCCCCCAGCAGAGTCATGACTTTACTTCTCCCGGGTAAAGTCCCCATTCTCATGTCAGGCAGGGTTGAGAAACCCCCATTCTAGACCCTGAATTCCTAACCTTAGTGCAGAGACCCCACCCCCAGCTGCCAGGGGACCTGGGGGACATACTCAGCAGGAATCTCTTGATGGCACACGAATCTCCCAGGTTCTCACCTGTGGAGATGGGCAGGGGCTGCGGGCGGCTCTGAGTCAGTTCTCGGTATCACCCAAGACACGGGTTCGAGACACGGGTTCTCCCGATGTGAGCAAACAGGGTGCTGTGGCGCTTCCTGCTGTTTCCTCAGGTTTGTTTTGGGATCTCAGCTCTCCCCTCTCAGCTAAAAGGAAAGCAGGAAATGGCAGTACCAGAGGGTGGGAGTTACACTGCCACAGGGGCTGGGACCCAGAGGTGGCTTCTGCTGCCCCAAGGAAACCCCTGTCCTGACCACGGGTGAAGGTTGTGCAGGCCTGGAGCTGGGCAGGTCAGTGTCCAGTTCTGACTCTGCCGCCAGTCATCCATGGGGCCTTGGCCCACCCTAGGCGCGTCACTCGTCAGGGGCCTCCGGCCCTGCCGCAGCTCATTTAAGGCTTGTTGAGAGCAAAAGAGCCCACATCCAGTCAGTGCCATCGGTGGATCATCCCCTCCCATGTGCTCTGTCTGCACCGGCCAGTGCAGTAGCCTCTAGCCATATGTGTTACTGTGGCTAGGACCTGAAAAACTAAAATTTTAGTTACTTATTTGGTTTTAATCACTGTCCGCAGCCACATGTGGCTAGTGGCTACCGTATTGCCCAGGCATCCTGGGTCATCAGCTCCCAGAACATCCCATGTTCTTCCTCCTCCAGGCCCCTGCTCGTGGCATGACTCTTCCTAGAATGTTGTCTCCACTCTCTCTCTTCTGCACCCTTTGCCACTGGCTCATTGGGCTCCTTGTTTAGGTTTAAGCGCCTGTATTGTGAGGTGGGCAGCTGGAGTTAGCCTTGGGTCTGGCTTGTGGCCTTTCCTGTCCCGTGCCTGGTGACTGCCTTGGCAGCAGGTGCTGTTTGGGGAAGGGGCACCCCTGGGCCTTGGAAAGGCTGGGGTGCAGGTGGCTTCATCCCCAGGCGTTCGTGTGGAGAAGCCCACATCTGAGACATGGCCGACGGCCTCTCTCCGGCCG